ACATACACATACATACATATATGGAGGGGGAGGGGAGAGAATTGTATTATGTTGTTATTCCTAAAGAGTACAGCAATGGTAAGTACTTAGGTATGTAGGCAGGCAGGCAGGTAGGCAAGCAAGCAGGTAGATAGGTAGGTAGGTAGATGTAGAACCATAAACCATTTCCCCATTTCTTCCAATTCAAATCCAATAGAAGAAAATGGAATCATTGTCTGGCGATCTGAACAATGTTTGACTAGCATCGTACTAGAAACATCCAGTAAGTTACCACCAGAATGTTATAGCTGAACAATGGTTCATACATTTCTGAAATGTATTCTGGCTCAATATGCTTTTGTGGGTGCCCAGGGACTAGAGGGGGAAAAGAGAATTCTTCATTGATTAAAATTATTTTTTCCTTGTACAATACTGAATATTTACATCTATTTCAAGTATGCAGAAACGTAAGAATATTAAATTAGAATCTAATTTAGAATCTGATTAAATTAGACTGGATTTGATGTGTTAGACCAATTGTTAATCTTACTTAATAAAAAATACATCTGTACTTTTCATATTGCAATTTCTCTTATAAACTCTTCTGCAAAAGTGTCAATAGGTTTATTGAAATAATGTAAAAAGGTATTATAATAGAAAAAACCGAATCCTACACTATTTTTTAAGGAAAAAGAAGAGACCCAGTATATGTAGTTTTCTTTAAATAAAATAGCATTTGCTAGAATTAATTTGTTTACATTTTTTTAATTCTTTCATAGTTGTGATGGTATTCTTACCGAATAAAGTTGTGGGGGGGAGGAAGACGATGGGGGAATGTAATTTGTGGACAAGTTGGCAAAAATTACTTTCTTTAACTTTTTGGTAGCAGACTTTTCTGTAAATCATTTTAAATGCAAAAGCAGCTAGTGATGGTGTAAAGCGGGAAGTCATTGAACGTTCTTCTTAATTAAGACTTAAAATGGCACTGCAAACTTTTGATGATTAATTGAAGCATGCGTTTGCCTGATGCATATTTAGTTATTATAATGTGATAATTTTATCTTGTTATACAGACAGATCCCATGGGGAGCATGATTTAACACTGTGAACACTGTGTTTATTGCATTGTTCATTAAGAAATGTACAAAGGCTGGTAAACAATAAGGAGGCAGTAATAACTGTCTCTACAACAGTTTAGTTTTGACCCATTTCCACCTATAAAGTTATAACCTTGGAGTAGGAAATATAACTCGGAACTCCCTGAATAACTCTGAATAATAGAGGCAATCATTTTAGTCCTCCCAACAGCAAGGAATTTGTGTTGATATTATTGCTCTGTTTACAACAGCACAGATGTTTATTGAGATAAACAGTGCAGATATTTTATTGTTTGTGTTTCCAAAACTGCCTTTGCATTTTTTAACACATGCTGTTCTAAATATGTTTTTACAGCATCGTAGAAAAAGTGGTAGGTAACTAAAAGGATTTTACTCTGGTAGTTCATTTTGAGGATATTAATATGAAGATTTTATTTTTTTGGCTAGAGGTAAATAAACTTGTTCTATATTTCAGGCACACAGAAATGATATTAGTGGTTCACTGGTTCTGAAAAACATCCAGAGTAATAATTTTAGATTATCTGTATTTTATAAACATCTATGATACAGGTAGTCCTCAATTTACAACAGTCCATTTAGTGATTGTTTGACATTACAATGACATTGAAAAAAGTGACTCATGACTGCTCTTCGCACTTACAACTGTTGCAGCAGCCCCATGGTCACTTGGCAACCGACTCATATATATGATGGTTGTGGTGGCCCAGTCATGTGATCACCTTTTGCAATCTTCTGACAAGTAGAATCAACAGGGAAGCCAGATTCACTTAACAACTGTGTCACTAACTTAACAAATGCAACAATTCACTTAACAACTGTGTCACTAACTTAACAAATGCAACA